CTTCACTGATCTTTCAGAGAAGGGTTTTTCTTATTTCTTATGTACTACTTGAATTCCTCTCAGCCTTAGTCCATGCTGGTTTTCCTTCAGTCTGGGATGCCTGTTCCCTCTTCTCCACCTGCCTAACTCTTGTGGGTCACTTAAGCCCAGTTGCAGCCTGGTCCTCTGGAGTCCTTCCCTGCTGCTCCTGCCCACTAGGGTCGTGTCGTGCTCTGATCTTGTGCACCACTGGCTGAAACTTGTTGGTTTTCTTCTGCCCCTTATTTCAAAGGCAGACAGAGACTTAAAAGGTTATGATCACTATGTCTCTGGCTTATGTCAGGTTTCATAGTGCTTGGCAAAGAGCCTGGCATACAGACAAATGGTCGGTTGGAGAGGGATGCCTGCTTACTCCAAGCCAGGTACTCACGGAGTGATACTGAAGACCAGATGTGATGAGAACTGATAATTCCTATATGGGAGACCAGGCATGTGCAAAACATAACTCTGAATTAGGGCAGCATTGGGTTTTCTCACTTTTTTATATGAAAATCTGTACTCTTAAGATAACTCGGAATTTTTATTCTCTGATATCCCTTTTATAGAAATCTACTTTATTTGTAGATAACATCTTTTCTCTAAGAGTTTTGGAGGAAAATTATAGCTCCATCTCATTTGGAGGGTATTTAGGTTGGACCTTGGGAGACAGTGCACTAGAAGAAATGAGGTCAGTCACAGCATGGGAGGGTGGGAGAGGACAATTCCTTTTGCCTTAGAAAATGATGGAATTTCCCTTTAATAATTGAAAGACAACCAGACATGTCCTGGATTAATTTGATCATGCAGTAATTTAAACCAATTTTGAACCCGGAGGCAGTACAGACTCAGCATGCATAGCAGCTTTGTTTCCTCAGCAGTTAGCAACTTTGCTACAATACTCTGCACCAGCCAGGGTCACTGCATTGATCTTTGACTAGGTTAGCTTTCCCAAAACTTGTAGCAAATATCACATCTGACTTGCAGCATCTTGTGCTTCTTTCAGAATTGTGACTGACTGCAGCTGCCATTGAATTTATACAACTCTAATATTCCTGCCACTTTGCCATCTACAGAGCCAGGCTGGCTGGTATTGATTTGAGGGCAGTCTTTTGTAGTGGAGAGGAGTACTGGAGATTGTGTTTCTTCTCTCCCTCCATCTGGAGTGGCGTTTAGAAACTACTCCTCAGATGTTATCCAGCGTCTGCCTGGTGGTGTGCAGTCCTGGCAGTTAGCCATGGAATGGGATACTTGGGTGGAAGCGGCTTAGGAAACTCTTCTGCCTCTGTGTCATCTGCAGCTGCCAGAGAATCCAAGAACGAGGCATGCTGCTGGCTCTTGTCACTTTGATGTCGGAA